GCGGACCTCTCGCTGGCCCCTGCGGACCTCTCGCTGGCCCCTGCGGACCTCTCGCTGGCCCCAGCAGCTAGGACGTGATTCCCAAGCTGGATGCAGTCACAGCAGAGCACCCAGGAGAGGAGGGAACAGGAGGAGCTCTTTACAATTCGCGAGCAAAGCACAGGTTAGTCCTCAAGGTGACAGATGTGCTCTCTAGCACTGGTGACCCGGGCTAAAGTCAAACCAGCAGGACGGTGGCTGAGAATCCCCGGGCACCCCGGGGACACCCAGGGACACCCAGAGCAGCAGTGCCGGCCCCGCACGCACCGTCAGGTTCGTTGCAGTAGGTGGCCGGGTCGGACTGAAGGCTGTAGAGACGAGCCTGGAGCAGAGCAGGGGAGGGAAGCGCCGTGAGCGCCGGAGCAGCTGGGCCCAAAGGGGAGGCCTCTGCCCCCAGCTGGAAGCGCCCAGCAGGGACACCCACCTTGGCACTGTCATAGGGCTCCGTGGTACCTGTCGGCGTTGCCATCAGCGTTATGACATCGCAGTCGATGGTCTTATCTGGCGAAGGAGCAAACGTGTCCGAGATGACGCCCAGGAAGTCAGAGAGCCCTTTCCTCACCTTTTCTGTTGCACCTGAAGAAACCTCCGTCCTCTTGAAGAGGGAAGTAAAAACACAGCATAAAAACCAGCACCTGAGGTGACAAGACAACTCTCAGGGTCTTTTGTGGCTTGGTTCCTTTGCAAAAGGATTATTTTTTACCCTTCAAACAGATGCTAGTGAGCCAACTGCACAGGCAGGGCTGGGCCATGCATGTGATAACAGGAACTCGCCGCAGGTGGTGGCGATAAACTGGTGATAAACTGGCAATAAGGGAACCAACACCAGGCTGGGAGACGGGAAAGAGACCGCACATGGCACAGAGAGAAGGAAAACATGGGAACCTTCTCCTGTCTCCAAAGGTATTTTCTCCATAACACAACAAGAAAGTCACGCAGGGCTTAGTACTGAATTTGGATAGGGAAAAGCTGGGGGCTGAAGGGCAGGTTGAGGAAGCTGCAAGCTGCTCAGAAAGGGCTGTGTGCTCCAGGGCGGGAGCGACCCGCGGCGCAGGGAGCCGCGCAGGGAGCCGCGCGCCCGCTCACCGCCAGCCTGTCCTTGACCACGCTGGCCGTGGCCGCGATGGTGCAGGCCGTGTCGTGCTGCACCACCTGCGTGAACTCCGCCAGGTCCCGCTTCATGAACTCCAGGGCTTCCGAGGACTGTGGGGAGAGACGGGCAGAGTGCGCGGGCGCCTGAGGAGGCGGCGGCGGCGCCGCGAGCCCCACGGCGAGCCCCACACCGCGGGCCGTGAAGCTCTTTCCCCGCCGTGGGCTCCGTGATTGAGCACCGGGCAGGCTCGGACACAGCGCGGACACGAGGACAAGGGGCAGCCAGGCCCAAGCGGGCCAGCGGGCGGGATCTGCGATGCCAAGAAGGGGGTAAAACCGGCTCGGGCAGAGCCCTGCTGTGTCCGTGCCCGGTAAGCGGCGGCAGCGGCGCCTGCGCGGAGGGGAGGCCGCGCGGAGCGGGGCCGCGGGGGCCCTCGGGCCGGTCCCCGCTCCCGGGGCCGCCGCCGGGAGCGCCGGGGGTCCCGGGCCGCCTCCTACCTTCTCCTTGACGGCCTGGTAGCTCTGCTGCAGCCAGCTCCGCCACCAGCCCGCGTCCTCCCTGCGGGGACACGCGCGTCAGGGACCGGGAACCGGGGAGAACCGGGGGGAACCGGGGAGAACCGGGGGGAACCGGGGGGAACCGGGGGGAACCGGGGGGAACCGGGGGGAACCGCCCCGCCCCCCGGGCCCTGCCGCCCCCCGGGCCCCGGCGCCGCGCTCACCCCTCCGCCATCTTGCCCGCGTGACGTCACCACTATTTACCGACCCCTCACCCCGCAGGCTCCGCCCCCGGGGCGGTGCCGGGCGGGGGAAGACGGCGGGGCGGGGCGGCCTTCGCGGGCGTGGCGTCACTTCCGCTTTCCGCGAGCGGCGGCGGTACGGCGGCCGGCGGGGAAGGTGAGGACGGGAGCGGGGCCGGCTGAGACCGGGGCTGCGCTACGGGAGCCGGGCGGGGGTTGCGGGTCCCGGCCGCGCGTCCCGGTGCGCGGCGGTAACGGCCCCGGTAACGGCCCCGGTAACGGCCCCGGTAACGGCCGCGGTTTGGCAGGCGCGATGGAGATGCAGTCGTACTACGCGAAGCTGCTGGGCGAGCTCAACGAGCAGCGCAAGCGGGACTTCTTCTGCGACTGCAGCATCATCGTGGAGGGGCGCATCTTCAAGGCGCACAAGAACATCCTCTTCGCCAACAGCGGCTACTTCCGCGCGCTCCTCATCCACTACATCCAGGACAGCGGGCGCCACAGCACGGCCTCGCTCGACATCGTCACCTCCGACGCCTTCTCCGTCATCCTCGACTTCCTCTACTCGGGCAAGCTGGACCTGTGCGGGGAGAACGTCATCGAGGTCATGTCGGCGGCCAGCTACTTGCAGATGACCGACGTGGTCAACTTCTGTAAGGCCTACATCAGGTCCTCGCTGGATATCTGCCGCAAGATCGAGCGGGAAGCCGCCTTCTACCAGGCCGACAGCGAGGGCGGCGCCGCGTCGGGCTCCAAGAGCCAGTGCTCCGCGTCCTCGCTGCGGGAGACGGAGCGGGATTGCGAGTGCCGGCGGGATGCGCCCTGCGGCTGCCGCCCCTTGGAGCTCGTGACGCGGGAGCCGGCGAGCAGCGGCGACGGCGTCAACTCCTCGCTGCCCAAGGAGCCCAAGGTGGAGCTGGACGCGGACGCGCGGCTGCCGCAGTATCCGCCGCCGCTGTCCCTGGAGCACCTGGACGAGGGGCTGCCCGGCGCGCCGCCCGCGGACCTGCCCTGCAACAGCTACCACATGAAGCAGTTCCTGGAGGCCCTGCTGCGCAGCGGCGCCGCGCAGAGGAAGGACGACGTCGTCCACCACATCGTGCGCGGCCTCGAGGGCAGGCCCGACGACGCGGCCGCGGCCGTGAGCTCCGTCATGGACATGCACGGCGACTGGTACGGGGAGGACGCAGGTGAGGGGGCACAGCCGGGTCGATCCGGGAGGAAGCCGCTGCTTGTTGACGCTCAATTAACGCTCCCCGCGTTAATTGAATGGTTGCTCTCGTTCTCGTGCAGGAAAATAGTGCTAAGTTTTATGCCTAGCAAAATAAACTGTTGTTGTGGAGTTCCAAAGAAAGCTGTACTCGTTTGTTCAGTGCAGCACTTGAGAGGTAAGTATTTCTGGTAGTATTTACAGGCTTTTTGAAGCAGATCCTGGAACGTGATGGTGCTGACTCTGCTTTAATAAACAATCTCACCTAGAACCTTATTGGAAGGTCAGGTGCACATTACAAGACAGTCTTTATTGCATAATTTCAGTGGGTTAAAAAGCAGAGAGAAAACTATGCTCTGAGGAGATGATGTTCTGTAGAGCCTGGCACATCAGAGTGGCTCTTCAGTGGCTGTCACCTAATCAGTCTGCTCGCTGATACTTTGAACTTCAGAAAGGCAGGAATCAATTTTATTCAATATGAAGTGCTACCTTGAATGTCTTTAATGCCTAAATATCTGAAGCTCTGGAAGCTTTAAATTCTGCACGGTGTTGAGTATAGGCTTTCTCTTCTAGAGGCAGGCTCTGTTTGGGACTGCTGGCAGGTGGTTTTCACCAGCCTGGTGCCTGTTAGGTTCTTAGCACGGGTTGTTGGGGCCCGCAGGGGTGCGTGGCCGTACATCTCTTGAAGTGGACGCTGAGGATTTGGGCATTTGACCTCTTCCAGCAGTGCTGGAGCAGCCCTTGCCTTGCACCGACCCTCTCACGAGGCAGGAGGCTGCTCTGGGGTTAGGGGCTTTGAGGATGCAACGAGCTCTGCAGAGATGCGGGCAGCACCGTGGAAATCTGTAGGAGATCTAGGCAGCAGGCTGGCATTTGTACCATCCCCAGCTCAAGCCTGCATATGTGACCTTAAAGGCAATAAAAGCAATGCATTCTCCTCTTAGCTTTATCAGATGTATTATTTTAAAACAAATAATCAGTTGCAAAGCTTCACCAAAAGACAGAAGTTACCACAAGAGAGTACTGTCCCAGATCCTATCTTCACCTTTTAAGTGTTGCAGCAAGGCAGGGGCATCTAACAGAATGACTGTACTTATTATTTTCCTCTTAAAATCTTCCAATGGTTAGTGTAGCATTGAAACGTTTCTAAAATTGGATAGAGAACATAAGGTGTTACCACAACATACTAGAAATGTTAAAGCTAGAAGAAACAACCCCCTTCCCTTTAGCTAATGTTTCTCTGCTAAAAATGCTCATCACAAGCATACAGTAGAACGGGAATATCTCTTCACTGCTTTTAGTGCTCCTGGTTTCTTCGGCGTTTTCACGAGAAACAACCATGAAGGCAGGTCCTGATAAACAAAAGAATGACTCTCTCATACACTCAAGCTTTTTGAATGCAAGACAGATGAGGTAAATACCGTTTAACTTTAAGTATCCGCATCTGTTCTAGGTCTCCTGGTTGGCTTCCTAGCTGGTGGAGGGCAAACAGGCACCTCTGGAGAGCAGTGGTACTTATCCGGGGGCAGAGACTGTCAACCTTTTAGAGCTCTAGAGCTGGGCTACTGAATTGCTCCTGAAGGCTACAAGTCAATTCTAAACACTTTTTTTTTTTTCACACTGAAGTGGACAAAGCTTAATGTAAAGGATACCCCGAAGCTGCAACTCGTAGCTATTCGGGGCCTCGCAGCTCAATATGGAAATGCTTTCCTGAATCTGTACTTAATCACTGCACCAGTACTTAGTCACTGCATCTGACTTCATAAATTAGAACGTTTTGTGAATGTAGACTGATTCTAGGAAAAGTAAAACAAACTGCTAGCTTAGTATATTATCTTTCACCTGCTATTTCCAGTAGAGGCTAAAATGAATGAGAGTAGAAAAAAAGCTTCATCTTTTTAGATGGGTTCACCCCATCTAAATTAATGCACCATGTAAAAGCATGCAGAAAGTTGTGCACTGCCTCTGCCTGGGGTTTATGGTAAAGATTCTAATATCTAAGGCTGTTCAATGCTAATGGCATTAAAAGAAAAAGAGTTTTGGTGGCTGGAATAGCAGAAAGGCTCTAAACACATTTTTATGGCACTTATTTAAATGGCTTTTTAAAATAAGGCTAATTTGTCTTTCTGTTGTGAGCCAAGTCGCTCAGAATTGTGATCCACAGGAGTATAGTCAACCTGGTTTTCAAGGGACTTGATCGTCTGCAGCTGCAGTCATGTTTTCTGAAACTGCACAGCCTACAGAAACTCCAGGTAAGCCAAATACAGGAGGGAAAAGAGCAGTTAACCTTGAGTCAGGTTTGCAGTGAGGAGGAGGGCAAGAAGCCAACAGAGCTAGCGCGGCTGCACTGCTTAATCTAACGCGCTGTTTTTTTCCTCACAAGGTGATGTGTTAGTTGTGCCAATCAAGCTTCACAAATGTCCATTCTGTCCCTACACGGCTAAACAAAAAGGAATACTAAAACGGCACATTCGCTCTCACACAGGTGAGAGGCCCTACCCCTGTGAGACATGTGGGAAGCGTTTCACTCGGCAGGAGCACCTCCGGAGCCACGCTTTAAGTGTAAGTTTGAGAGACGGCGCTATTAGGAGAGTAAAAAATAAAGAAGGTCTTTGTTCACAATCATTATGTTAGCCTAGATGAGAAATATCCATCCTATTTTGAATTATGATGTCAGATGAACTTTGCTAATAGTAAGTTTAGGCATCTGCCGTATAGATTAAGTGCAGATGCCTTCTTATGCAAACTACCTCCTTGGAAAAGGCTACGGTGAGAAGGCAGATGGAGTTTTTACTGTGATGTTTTGGTTTTGTCTGTAGGTGCATCGATCAAACAAGCCAATTATCTGCAAGGGCTGCAGGAGAACGTTCACAAGCAGCATGTCGCAAGGGCTGCGACGCTTTGGCTTGTGCGAGAGCTGCATGTGCGTGACCACCACCCACGAGGACTCCATGCCCATTAACCTCAGCCTAATGGAAGCCTCCTCGGAAGGCCAGGATAAGGGCGATCCAGACAACGACTGGCCCATATATGTGGAGTCCGGAGAGGAAAACGATCCCGCTGATGACGATGATGCCGATGGTGACGATAAGCAGGAAATCCACAGGAGCTTATCAGACCGAGAAACACTTATGTAGCAACAAGACAAGAGTGGGAGGACTTCAGGGGTCTTCCTGACAGAGGATTTGGAAAACTGGGTATTTGTCCAGTTAGACTGTACTGATTTTTTTTTTTATCATTCCATTTTTTAAAAAGAACAGTGAGGAGAATTGGAATTTTTAATACTTTGAAGCTTTCAGTGCTGTGCACCAGAATTCTCTAGAGAATCTTCTGTCTGGGGGTCCACAGAGGTGGTACTTGAACAATCTCCCATTGTGTCTCTGCATCCCAACTTTAAGGAAGAGGGCACATTTTGCAGGTGGAACATCTCTGAGTTATTTTGATACCAGGTTTCTTCCAGTTCTGTTGTCGTGGCCCTTATTCCCTTCTTTCAAACAGGCAAGGTCTTCTCTTGGAAGAGATGTAGATTAAAAGAAAAGTCCAAATTAGCTTGGGCTTGTCCAAACTAAGCTGTGATCCTTCTGTGTTAGGATGATATTATTGAAACTGTAAACCTTAGCTGTTTGTTTAGACAGGGTTTGACCTGGAAACCAGGATAGACGACCAAGACTAACAAAAAATATGCTGCAGATAAAAGTATAGACAGTAAGAATAAATATATTTCAGATATCTTCAGTCATAGATATTTTGCAGCCAGCTGCTTTTTCTGAATTATCACTGTATCTGCCTCATCTGAACTACAGATCTTCATATGTGTCTTTAATGACATTTAGATAACACCAGATCTGGCTTAAGAAATGTGAAGCACACTTAGCAGATGTTATAACTTTATAATTCCTAATGCTGCAGTCAGTCAGTTGATAATAAGTGATCTGTCCAATTCTCTTTTATTTTTTTTACACCAGGAGTTGTAATCCAATCCTGTCAATTGGATTACTTAGGGGTTCCAATTCTAGTAAGTTAAATATCCAGATTCACAGCTGATGTAACTGAGGAGCAGCTAAATATCTGAGCTATGCATTGTGAAACAGCTCGGTATACCTCTTTGAAGCAACTGGGCAGAAAAAAATCAGAAATCTGTACTAATTTTTGTATGCAAAACCTTTTCTATTACGCTATTTCAGTCTTTGGCAATCCTCTTCATTGTTTACATTGTTTTGCAGATTTATCCAAGTCCTGTTTGGTTAAAACTCCAGCGTGGACCTCCTGTTTCCGCTGCTGGGGTAAAGGTTGGTTTTCAAAGGAGGTGAGGTCACGTTACATTTTCTGTACCAAATTGATTTAAGCTGTGAAAGTTGAGCTGGGGACCTTTAGGAGTAAATGCCCCCCCACCAGAAAGCCTATTTGTTCATGAATAACCTGCTGTTTCCCAGAGAAGAAACTATTGAAAAGATTCTGTGAAGTAGGACAGTATAGAGTTAATACTTTTAAGTGTTTAATGAAAAGACAGATTGTATATGAGTCTTTCTAGCTGCAGTTAAGTGCTAGATCAGAGAAGACTGGAGCCAGATATAGCTGGTAAAGAGTGTGTTCTTCTGACTTAACATGACAATATTTCTTGAGGTTTTAAAGAAATACTTCACAGCAGGGAGACATGCAATGAAACCTGCTGAGGGGGGAAGTCCTCCAGTTTAACCAGCTGTTTTTGTATATCTTGTGCTTTTATTTCACATAGAACCTGAACTGTTCTCGTTCTGTATCAGCTTCATTCCACAGAGGAGCAATAATCCTGTTGCAATATCACAATGTACTTGAGCAGAAGTGACTCTCATATCACAGATGTGGTTAGGAAGTCATTGCCAGATCAAGTAGGGTGAGGAAAGAAGAAATAAGCAAAAAGGTAACTTGTTTGAAAAGAAGCTATGTTATTAATGATTCATAAAAACAGCAGAAGGTAAATAGACTTGTTTTGAAATATCTGTCTACATCTTTGGTCTTGATAATTGCCACATTCTCGGGAAGCACTTTTCAGTGGCATCGCTTCCTGAGTTTATTTTCTGAAACTTCAATTGAGCAGGCAAGATAGGACCTCTAAGATGGGCTCTTTTTAGTTGCACTCTTGAGTTTTAAAACTTTCACCCTCTTCTAGATCATTTATAGATTGGGAGCTTGCAATAGCTGAACACTATCATAGTGACACTAGAATGAAGTATCGAGGCAAAGTTTTCAAAAACATTCTGGACTCTATAGTCCTTATTTTCATCTCTGAAGAGAAACCTTCAAAAAGACAGTTCATGTAGGGGCCAAATTTGGAACAGAGCTCTTTGGAAAATGCCACTATCATTTTGAGTGCCAAGAATCTTTGAATACCTACACAAAAGGTGGGCTTCCAAATCGTACAGGCACATTTGAGCTCGCTCACTCCCCCAGCTCACTGTTATGACTGTTTTTGTTAAGCCATCCAACTTCAGAGTGCTTTTTGGTATTTGATAAAGGAGGAACTTGTGTGTGTGAAAGCACCCGAAAGGCACTCATGGTATCTGTGATTGCTGGGAGACTACCTACCATAATGAAAGTGGAGTAGGAATGTAAATAGGGAGCTGAAATGGTGTTTAGGGACTAGGCATCCCAATCTCTGGTGGTTCGAGCAGAATGCCAGCTCCTTGTAAATACTGTAGAAGACATGGACTGTGTTGGGCATGGTGCTGGCTAGTGTCACAGTGACTGTGGGATGATTTAGCCACTGTGGGACTGTGCTGAGGTGCGGACTCGGAAATGGTGAGGACGCTTAGAGAAGGGAAAATTAAACTCGCCTGAAAGTCTCTGTGACGTAGAGTTAAGAGCTACAGGAAAGGCTGCAGAGAGCTGCAGCCCCCAACCTGCCTTGTGGCTCTTAGAGATTGTTGTTGTGTGTCTTGTGCGTAGAAAATGGAGCTGTGTTAACTTCTGTGTAACACGGGGTGAGGGGTGGGAGGGGGAGACGTTACGTTCGCGTTGCAGATTGGAAGTGACCCCAGAATTGATGTTGACTGTTGATCTGTCATATTGTGCTATTTTGTTTTTGATGGAGTCCTTTAGCCTTTGTATTTAGTAGAAGAGGGCGTAATTTGCTCACTGTGTTGTGACCATGTTCATGTCAATGTTTGCTGTGCTTTCCACCTAGTTTTTTTGATGTTTTCCTGAAATCTTCCAGTGTAAATCCAGCCTCTACAAGCTTTGAGAAGATGACGAGGCCGTTTTAAAAGGTTCCTATGGTGCTTAATGAAGAATCAAAAATAATGTTTTTAGAAAACTTATTTCTAATATCTTTCTCAAAGTTTTTAAAAGGCCATGTAGGCTGCATATCTTAAAGATTTAGCTCTGTGTAACCCACTTTGTTTAGGAATATACATTACAATGTACTTTTGCACATAATTGCACTGTATTTCACTAAAGGAATACATGCTGCACTGGTATTAATACTGTGTTTTACCTCTTGGTGCAAGACCTTGTAAATCTTCCAAATGTGGTCATTTAGTTTTCAGATGTTTTGTAAGGCAGTTTCATAACTGGAGTCCTTTAGTCTAGTTTAAATGATGTATTCTTATAAATTAAAACTTTATTTGTGGAAGTGACTTAACTATAACAGTGGATCTTGGAGCACTTTAGAGGTTTCTGATTGTCTAGAAAAAAAATGCATTGAGAGGATAGCTTTGATTTGATTTAACATTCACAAAGGTGACTAAGATATAGGTTAAGCCCTACATTTAAATTTCTGGGAATTAAAGATGAATAAACGCATTGTTAGCACAAGCCATCATGCAAGCAAAAATATTTGTGTTGGAAAAAGATTAAGATGATGCTGTCAACTTAAAATCTAGCCAACTGATTTTGTTTTGATTTGAAATGATTTTATTTGTTTTCCTACCAGTTTTTGTAGTTTCAAAATTATTTTAACTTTTTAAATTTTTTCTTTTAAAGCTTTCTCCTTTTTTATGCTATGGGAGAGTCCATGAAACTGGGAAGCAGTCACTGACGCTGCCCAGAAGAAAACGCTGTCAAATATCTACAATAAAAAGCCAGGAGGGAGGTAGAGGGAGAAAAAATCCTAGGTCACTCTGCAATAATAGTGGATATTTCACTTTTTTTTTTAATTCTGCTTTTACAGAATATGTTTAAAAAGCTATATTTATATGTTTATTTAGAATATCTTCCATCAATGGAAGATACTATATTTAATAAACCTTTTCTTTTCACTGTTTTCATTTAAGCAGTGAAATCTGTCATTTTTTATTTTATTGGGGATCTTTATGTTAATATTTTTGCGTTTCGGAAGTGCCTGTTGTGCTATCTGCCCTTAAAGGACAGAAAGTAAAATAATCCATAGGGGCTTTAGCTAATTACTTTAATTTACCAGCACGAGATCTTTCCAATAGCAACATCCACCATGAATTGGCACGACTGTTATAGGAATCAGCTGATCAATTAGTAAATAGGAATTCTATAGAGAAGGAAAAGAAAAATAAAGTAAAATAGAGTGAAATAAAAATAAAAGGAAAATAGAATAGAATGCTATAGTGTTATTTTGCCCTGAATATCCAGGGGGCCTCTCAACCTTCCAAGGAGTGACCTTAGCCCAGGGTCCAGTTTTGTTGTTAGTGTTTTACTTGCTCACCAGTGCCTGGGAACTATTCCCATTTCAAAACCTGTTTAGTACTGATTTTTTAAAAAAAATCATTAAAGCTTTTTCTGTTAAAAGGTTATGTTTTTAGACTTCAGTTTTTTGGATATAGTAGAAGTTGACAGTGCTTTCTGACCTTTAATGTACATACACGAGTGATTAGACTTATCTCAAACATACACTGTTTTAAAATAGTAATTGGTACAAATAATGCTTTCTTCTGTACCATCTGAATCTGAGACATTTGAAATTGTTATCTCTGCTTTCTGTAAACAACCATCTTTCATATTTTTGACTTCTAGCTGTGTTTAACAAACTTTTAAAAGAAATACGACTTTTTAAGAATGTCCCAGGACATGCAAAATATGGAAACCTAAAAAACAAAGGCAACTCTGCAGTATTTAGACAATTCACAGTATGCTCTGAACCCAGCAGACCTTTGCAAATTTAATAGCTGGACAGTTTCCACAGATCAGCAATATAGAAATTGCACTGCCATTTAACTAGAGCTGCCGGATTTGCCAGTTACCTGTCTTGATGTTGAGATGTCTGTGTGTATAAAAATAAATACAACCAAAGTTGACAATTATTGTGCATCATCGCCATACAAGCAACTTACCCTTTTAAAAGGTGGGGATCAGATCTTTTAAGTTTTTTTTTTTCCCCTACAGTGGTGCGTTACTGAATTTGTCTTTATTGTATGTTTAATTGTACATGTACTATATATGTTGATATCCATGTAAGTAGTCTTGTTCTTTTATAGGTAAAGAACAGAAAATATTAAAAATCTAACATTAAGTGCATTTTTTCCACTTCCCACAGAAAGGGTAGGTACTGCAGTTAGGTATCTGAGTAATCACCTTGTGAGATGTTTTTTTGTTTGAGAATGCACTTTAACAAAGATTTGCCAGGGTTACTTTGGGGGAAGAGACCTGGATTCAGCAAGACTTGGATTTTGTGACTTTTTAAAGTCTTGCTTGTACAGTATTCCCTAAAAGGCACCCTACCAACCTCTCCTTTGAAACGGTTAATCTCACATTGCTGTGCCAGGCAGGTCCTCTACATAGTTGCCGAGTTTATTCCCATTGGATGGGCTCTCCAAGCAGTATCTCATCTTCAAGTGGAGCTTTCTTGGCCAGGAACAGTAACTCAAAAAGTACAAAAGCAAAGCACTAGATGAACTAACTGAAGACACTTCTAGAATCCGGGCATTGTTTATGATGTACTGTTATGCAAAGCAGGATGAAATTAATCCCTATGCAAGAGAAAACCAGGAGTAAGTTTCTTGGAAGCAGTGAGTTGACCTCATGACAAGTTACTGAAGGACTCTGACCAAAGCACTTGCAGCCTCTTTGAAAAATTCTAATTAAAACTACTCTAGATAGCGCTGCATTTTTTCCTGCTTTTTAAATTCGATGAGCCCGTCCCTAATAGATGGGGAACCCTTGAGGTCTCACTGGCATTCCTACAAAGTGCCTTGCTTGGCTCACACTGGTACGAGTGCGAGCTCAAGTCTCTCTTGTGACCTGGTCCAGCATCCCCTATAACATTCACCCTTTTTGCATCTTCAACACCCTATGGCAAGAAATTCTGGTGTCTAGCAGAAGGTATTAAGAGGATAACCATGTTTTCTTTGCTCTATCTGTCCCCAAATAACTTCATTTGATACCACCTTGTTCTTATCCTGGAATAAGAAGTGAACAATCAGTGCTGCTCATCTACTTGGGTCTTCCTAGACTTTCATCTTACCTTCACCCGCCTCATTTTTTTCCCGTTTGGAGATTCCATTCAATACAGGCATTCACACAAAGCTGTTCCAGATTTAGTATAATTTCTCTTTCACTTTTCTGAACTGTTTCACACACTGGTGGATCCTCCTCGAGAGGAGAGACACCTGAACTGTGTATTCAGCAATCAGGTGTGTCCTGCTGAGTACTGGAAGAGCTAAAGCAGCCCGATACTGGAATTCTGTTGGTGATCCTGAAAGGGGAATGATGCGGAGGAAGAGAGTTACTAATGGTTCCCCATACTGGCTTTGGAATCAGTTCATCTAATACATCATTTAGAGTTTGACATAAAAGCATGATACAATCTTACCAAATTTGCAGATGACATTGTAAGGAATTGCCAATACTATGCAAAATGGAATGTGCACCGGGTAAACTAGTGTCTTTTTTGGACTATACTGACAGAGCTGGGGAAGAAACAATGGTACAAAATGCAAAATTCATGACTTGGGATAGAAAAATACATGTCACAAGCTATTGGAGACAGGCCTATGCACCCACTGATGACAGGATGACTATGAAACAGCATTGCAACGTGGTTCAAAAGGGATACAGCAGAATCAAATGTCTTCAGTTGGTGAGAATGAATAACATTGTTCCAGGCAAGGGAGTTTTGTGTCAAATACTGGTTAAGCTGCGATGGCTTTTATGTTCAAGAATGATAAGTGTAAATGGGCAGGTCTTATGGAAGATTCAAGTGTGCACCCTGCATATCAAAGTTTGAAAGAAGATGGAATCCACAGAACTAAGGAAGAACATTAAAAAAGGGTGAATTAAGTTGTTGATACATATTGTCACAACAAATAGGGATATAAAGGGGTATGACAATGTGTATGGGATGCTGAGAGATCAAATCTAATTGTGAGAGGAAAGTCTCTAGATAACTTTCCTTTTTCCCCGTGCTTGGGAAAGGAACGTAAATTGTTTCAAGATGGAATGTCTTGAGTTTGAGGAAGGGAGGGCTAAAAGGGACACAAAGGATATGGCCAAGGCAGCGTGGCTCCCGTGGGAAAAGAAGTATTTGTGTGAAATACTTGGGGTGTCAGAGCACAGAAAAGACCCTGCTGGTAAGAGCAGGAAAGAGAGAGAGGTTCCAAACTTCAAGTGAGAGAAGGTGAGAGGCTTCAAAAGAGGATTCCAGACATTATGGTTTCTTGGGAAGATAATGGAGATAGGGAAAAAAAAAAAAAAAGGAAAAAAAAAGAATAAATCTGTGCTTGAGGAAGCTGCGGGCAGCGCGGGAAGGGTTTGGGTGGCCCTTGCTCTGCATGGAGGTGTGAGGAGGAGGCGCGCGGCGCAGGGCGCGCGGGCGGAGGGCGCTGCCGGCTGCGCCTGCGAGCGGCGCGTTGCCCCTTTAACTGTGTCCCCAGCCCGCGGGCGTCTCTGTCCAACGCCCACGTCAGCAAATACCTTTTGTTTCTCTCCCGTTCGGGCTTCCAGGGCTCGCGGCCGCGGGAGCAACGCGCTGCCTTCGCCCGCACGGAGCCCCGCGCCGGGGGCCGGGGATCCCGCGTCCAGCGCCCGCTCCTCCCCGCCGAGCGGCAGCGGCGCCCGCAGCCACCCGCACAGCAGCCGGTAAGCGGCGGCTCCCTCTCTCCCGCCCGCCGGCAGGCCGGGCAGGGCGCCGGGATTCGGGGCGGGAAGGGCCCCGGAGCGAGGCTGCTGCGGGGGGAGCTCGCGGGGCTCCGCAGCCGGAGCCGCCCGCTGCCCGGGCCGGGAGGCAGCCGCGCGGGCGCCATTTGCAGCCCCGGGCGCGGCTGCGAGGAGCCGGCGCCGCAACAAAGGGCTGCGCGGGAGCGGGGCGGC